AAAATATATAAGCATATTAAAATTATTTTTAAAAAATAATATAAAATGTCGAGAAGTGCCTTACGTGCAATAGTCGTTTAAATGTTCTGGAAATCTCACCCTTCTTCCAGAACGCGGCGTTTTAGGTTTATTTTCAGATACATGCGGAGTATCATCGCTAGTATTGGTTGTCGGTTGAGGAATTATGAGTGGAGTCGTGTCGTTCGATTGTAACGAAGGAAAATCGATGTACATAGGATTTCCTTCTAAATACGCTGCTTTTAAGCGATCGATGCTGATGCTATCGTTGGTTCCGTTCTTATCGACTATATAGTACTTCGGTTCGCGTTGAAGAACTTTGAAGGGTCCTTCGTATGCTGATTCGAATGGTCGTCGATGCGAGTCTCGACGAACGAAAACGTGTGTACTATATCGTAAGTCAGGTTGAATGAAAACATCAGTTGATTGAGGTCGAGTGGAAGCAGGTTTAACTGAACGCATTGCGTTTGTACGCCTGTTCGTGTAGGAGGTTAGATCCATGTTCATTGAAGAGGATGAAGGATCCACGAATTCTCCTGGAAGTCGAAGTGTCGTTCCATAAACGAGTTGAGCCGCAGTGTATCCAGTGTCAGCTTTCACTGCATTGCGAATACCTAATAAGACAAGTGGAAGAGCGTCGGTCCACTGTGAAACGTTTGCAGCTGATAGCGAAGCTTTCAGTTGTCGGTGAAAACGTTCTACCAACCCGTTTGCTTGTGGATGGTAGGCGGTCGTTCGGAAGCGAGTGATTCCTAAAAGTGTGGTCAGACGACGGAAAAGATCGGATTCAAACTGACGTCCGCGGTCTGTAGTGATGGTTGAAGGGCAGCCGAAGTTTGCCACCCATCGTTCGACGAAGGTGCGGGCCACTGTTTCAGCAGTGATGTCCTTGATAGGTACTGCTTCTGGCCATCGAGTGAAACGGTCTACGCAGGTTAAGAGATAAGAGTATCCATTTGAATCTGGTAAAGGTCCTACCAAATCCAGATGAACATGGTCGAAACGGGCATCGGGAGTTTTAAATGAGCCTAAGGGACATTTATTGTGTCTGATGACCTTAGATTTTTGGCAGCTTACACAGGAGCGTGCCCACTCCCTCACGTCTTTATTCATTCCAGGCCAGCAAACCGGTTCTGCTATAAGCTTGATGGTTGCACGAACACCTGGATGAGAAAGTTTGTGCAATGTGTTGAAGACATTGCGTCGATAATGTTTCGGCACGATTGGGCGATCCCTACCTGTAGACGTGTCACAAAGTAAGGTTTCGTTACCTGTTCCCATCTGTTTGATGCGTAGTTTAAGTGTTGTGGACGATAACTCGTGCTGAAGATCACTGTCTTCTTTTTGAAGCTCGGCGAGTTTAAGAAGGTCGATTCCTTGGAAACTGTTCAAGGAAGTTATGCGAGATAAAGCGTCTGCAACTACATTGTTTGCTCCAGAGATGTGTTGGATGTCTGAAGTAAACTGCGAAATGTAGTCCAGTTGTCGAAACTCACGAGGTGAGTACTTGTCTGAAGAGGAGCTTACGAAGAAAGTAAGAGCTTTATGGTCGGTGAAAAGGGTGAATTCACGGCCTTCGGTATAGTGTTGAAAATGCCGTACAGCACATTACATAGCTAGGAGTTCCCTACCGAATGTGCTGTACCTCGATTCGGTGTCTAGCAACCTTCTAGAGAAAAATGCCAAGGATTGCCAGGAGTTGTTAACCCATTGTTGTAAGACTCCTCCGATTGCCGAGTCGGATGCGTCTACTGCGATGCTAATGGGTGCTTCGGTGTCCTGATGTGCGAGCATTGTTGCTTTAGCAATCAGTTCCTTTACTGTGGAGAATGCTTTTCGTTCGCTGTCGTCCAAATTAATGGATTTCGCATTTCCTCGAAGTTGGTCGGTTAGAGGTTTCATGAGTAATGCGCATTTCGGTATGAAACGTCTATAGAAACTTACGAGGCTGTTAAACGTGCGTAATTGCTTGACGGTGGTCGGTTCTGGGTAATCCAGAATGGCCGCCACTTTGGTCCTAAGAGGTCGAATGCCTTGAGCATCGATAGTGTGTCCTAGGAAATCTAACGAGTCGGTTCCGAATTGGCATTTCTGAATGTTTACAGTTATGCCATGTTTTTGAAGTCGTTCGTAAACAAGATCCAGATGCTTGAGATGTGATTCTCTATCCGGACTTGCGATTAGACAGTCATCAACATACGCGTGTACGAAGTTGAGACCTCGAAAAACTTCGTCTATGAATCTTTGGAATGATTGGGCAGCGTTTCTTAGACCGAAAGGCATTCGCAAAAATTCATAGAGTCCGAAGGGGTTATGATAGCTGTTTTCGGTATGCCGTCAGTAGCCATAGGGATTTGGTTATACGCTTTAACCAAGTCGATTTTCGAAAAGACAGTTGTACCTTTCAAGGCAGCTGTCAAATCGTGAATGTGAGGCAACGGTAACGATCGGGAATGGTTTTCGCGTTCAATCGCCGATAGTCACCAGTTGGACGCCAATCGTTGCTGTCCTTTTTAGGGACCATGTGCAACGGAGATGCATAAGGGCTATTTGACGGTCGTATGATTCCTAAATCTATCATGTGATCGAATTCGTTTTTCGCTAACCTTAGCTTTTCAGGAGCTAGTCGTCGTGCTTTAGAGAATACAGGTGGTCCTGTAGTCGTGATGTGATGTGTAACACTACTGGTTACACACGGTAGTTTCGGTTGAGTTTGTTGTATCCCCGGGTACTTATCGAGAAGTGGCTGATAAAGTGGGTCGATCATATGCTTAACTGTGACTGGGGATAATCTGCAACCAGAAAAGGAAGTTACGCAAACGGACAAATTAGTGTTTCCGTCTACTAGTCTCCGTTTGCGAGTGTCGATGATCAGATTGTGGTGTTGTAGAAGGTCCATACCAATGATTGGTATAGAAACATCTGCAACAACGAAAATCCAGTGAATGGGTTTGCGTAAACCCACGTTAAGGTAAACGTACCTTTTGCCATACGTAGCGATCGGTTTTCCGTTTGCCGCCTGTAAGTTTAGAGCCGAATCTTGAAGCCGATCGTTGGGATTTGCTGGGAGAACGCTAGCTTCTGCGCCAGTATCGACGAGGTAGCGAACTCTCGTTGTCACATCTGTGACGTATAACAGACGGCTATGTTCGCCGGCTACGGTTGCCGTTAACGCGTGGCGGCTTGGAAGTTTCCCGAATTGTTTTTCGGATCATTCGGTTTCGTGTTGGGAAAATTGCAGGGTTTTCTGCAATTTCTGGAAAACTTTCCATACTGGTTATGATACCAGCACCAGTCGGGGTTATCTGTCTCTCGTGGTCTAGAGACAGATCGCTTACGAGAAATGCTTCTACGTGGTGTGCGCGATCTCTTACGGTCGGTACGAAGACTAAGATAACGCGTGAGTGTCGGTTATATCATTCTGAGTCGTTTGAGGTTTTTCTTTGACTGAAAATACCTCGGTAGTAGAAGGTTTCGTAATTTCTAAAATGCGGTCGGCAGATGCAGCTAGCTCGTCTAAGGCGTCGTTCTGGAACGAGACCAGAACTGCTTGCACCTGTTGGGGAAGTTTTGACAAGAAGAGTTGTTTGAATAGACCTTCGTCGAAAGTTCTTGGGCCTATTACCTCTCTCATCCGTTGCAACATGTCCGTCGCAGAACCGTGTTGCAGGTCGATATTGTTGAAGAGTTGATCTAACCTTTGTCGATCAGTTAGATCTCCTCGTTTAAGAATCGAGCGTTTTAAGATTACGTAAGGATCGGAAACATCACTAGTAAACATACTAGGTGTTACGTACCTGTTGAATTCGCGCGGTAGTGCCTTGACTACTGCGAGGAATTGTGCACGTGTGTCGATCACGCCGTGCTCGTAGAAGTCGGCTACTGTGTAGCAAAACCAGGCTTCGATGTTGTCGGGCCAGAAAGGCATCAGTTGAAACGAAGGCGGGGACAAAGTCTTAAGCTTGAGTACTTTAGGTGTCTGTTCAGTCATGATGAAGTATGAAGTACGATAATGAACGAGGGGAAAATATATAAATATCCAAGAAGAAACACGAAAAAAATCACAATGTTTAAAAAAAATAAAAAAATAAGGCAATGATATATAATAATCCCAAAAAGGAACAGACTCACAGTTGCAATTAGGTGTACCAGATCACGTCGGTTTCACCAATGATGATGCCACAGGTATTCAGTGTTTGACAACGCTTCTACCAGTAACACCTTCTAATGTATTTCGTTCCCGCCCAGAGAAATCAAAAGACAGAGTCGAGGAGATCGGAAGAGTATATTTGGCGATGACCAATATATCGGAATTCTCTGATCTAATCTGGCTAGCGATTGCGGTTGATGTTGAGCACGGCGTTACCACACGTGATCTGGTGCGGATGCCTGACCGAGCGCCTTCAGCTAGATGAGTCCACTAAAACATGGTCAGCATCCAATGTCGAAAACTTAGTGCTATTTATTTTGGGGATTTATTTACCGCTAGAACCTGAAAGCAGGGGCTATCTGAAACAACAACGCAACAGTCAGGACTGGTAAATGCCTCTGTTGTAAGAACGCAGCATACTGGCACAACAGAAATATATTTGAAATTGAAAGCCGAGGTTATATTACAAAAAGGTATAACTATACCTTATTATAAAATAGTTTTATCCATCGTTCTGCAGGTTCAGTTTACGTAGAGCTTGTCTCTTTTCCAGTACGTTTGTTCTTTGTTGACCTGCAGTAAGAAAAACAAACTCGTGTTAGTAACGTTACATGTAATGACTTTTGCAACTGCTACAAACTTTCTTTCCGTAAAGCGCGCTGAGTCACCTTGGGACTGAAAGGTGACCTTTTCATATGAAACATTTGAGAGAAGATGGGACTCTCAATGAAGATTGAAGAAAGCCATCGGCCTTCTGTTATCAATGCGGTAACCTGAAATTAACTATCTACCATCATTTGGACCCTCCGAAGGTCACGCTCATAATTTAAAGATGGCCTTCAATGGCTTTAGGGAGATTTTCGTTAAGCAAAAGGTATTATTTTTTTAGTGAAGGTAATTGCTTTCAAAGACTTTCCGTCCGAAGAAAACGTTTGCACCAGATACAATCCGTTATCACCTCCACAAGCGTGCTGAGGCTTCACTAAGTTCAGGGATCGACCTCAGGGAAGCGGTTAAAAAGCCAGATGACGAAGAACTGAATGATTGGATCGCAGTTCATGGTGAATTAAAATATAGATTGTCATTTTCCCAGTTGTTGATTTTTACAATCGTATCAACCTCATTTATGGGACTATATGTGATCGGTGCACTGAGCAGACATGCCCGACTATGTCTGGAGGCAAAAAGTTTGAATACCATTGGCGCGATAATGTACATTATAAAAAGCCTACTCCACTACCAGCGCCCAAATATGTTGACGAGTTGATGGACTGGGTTGACGCACAGATAAATGATCCATCACTTTTCCCAACTGACATAGGTAGGGTATTCAATACATCACGTGACTATACAGATATTCCTTTCCCAAAGTGCTATATTTCAACTGTAAAGAAAATATTTAGTAGGCTGTTCAGAGTGTTTGTGCACGTCTATATTCACCACTTCGATCGTTTGCATGAGATAGGAGCGGTATGTAGTTTTCCTTTTAATCATTATTTTTAGGAGGCTCATGTCAACACTTGCTACAAGCACTTCTACTATTTCGTAACTTATTTCGATCTTATTGATAAAAAAGAACTGGAGCCTTTGGTTAGTTTTTCTTTGTTTCCATTAATTCATATGATTTGTTTTTAAATACACTCAGTTGAAAGTAGTAAACTTAAATGCTAACTTCCGTTTGCTGGAAGAGATGTATTAATATGTACACAAAGGCTTTTTAGTTAGACTGGACAATATCACATGAGGGTATACAGTAAAACCCAGTTACCCAAATGAAATACAAAGAATTTGGTTTCTGGGTTGTCTCCCAATAGTTTCTGCATGGGATTTGTCACTGCGAAACGCTTGCTGTGTGAGGTTAGACGCAGGGTATTAGGGAATGATGGTAAATCAGTTGATGAGGTTATGAATCTTCATCGACTGAGATGGTTGGGCCACGTATTACGTATGCCTGAACACCGATTACCACGACGTGCAATGCTAACCGGTGTAGGGGATGGTTGGAAGAAAGTTAGGGGCGGCCAAACCAAAACGTGGCATCAGTGCTTGAAGTCACTAACTTCTAGTCTTAGCCATGTTGGTAGATGCAGACTACTTGGTTGGGGTCCGCGTGACTTTCGTAACCAATGGTTGGAGACTCTTGGTGACATGGCTCAGAATCGATCACAATGGCGTCGGTGTATACACTCTTTGTCTTCCCTTAAACTAAGAGATTAACATCACTTCATATCTTTCTTTCTACGAACTAATTCTTCCTTCCTATACTATATCCTTATTGCAACCTTTGACCTAACCACTCCTATGAATCCGGTGTTCATCTTGTTGTGTTAATGAGGTATGGCAACCTGGACCGATGCACATATGTGCCTGGTCCTACGTTGTAGCTGACTGACTGACTGCTTGCTGTGTGTATATGAATCAAGATTCTTACTGTATAGTGCCTCAGTCCTTGATACATTTCACATTTCAATGCGTTGAATAAACACAAGACAGTCGGAAAGCATTGTCCACCATTTAACGAATGTGTAATATCTACCAACTGTTAGAAATATCCTTACTTCTTGGGTGATGTAAACCCGTCGAAACTGTTTGTCTGCTAACTTCTATAAAGCAGAAGCAGAAAATAATGTTTCTTAATTCCTTGAAAATAAGTGTGACTTCTGTTTTCGAATATCAGCCTGAGCTAAATTTAGTTATACATAAGCAACGCAGAACCTGGCATCGGTTTAGGTTCTCAAGGTATACTAGCGCAACCAGATCATAGAATAGTAGTAGTAGTTACAGTACCAGTGACAGTAGAACAGGCTAGGGATATATAATATGGTTCAAGATCCATTTATGCCACAACGTATATATATATATATATATATAAATTGGTGAGAGAATACTCTCCGTTCGTGACCAAAACGCCTTATTATTTCGATTATTGAGTCGTCATAGAGAGCATTTCATAAATGTGGTAACTAGTCGCCGAAAAACAAATCGTTTTATAAATGCCGTTGGTTGTGCATAAAGTGTGTTCATTTTAAGCCTATGTCTATTAGAAAGTAAATCACTTATTCTGAGTGCTTTTTAATATATTTAAGCTTTGGTAGCTCCATTCAGCTTTATACATTTGTAGAATGAATTAACCCAAAGAATCTGTCACTAAAAGGATCATATACATAAATTGTTCGCAAATTTTCCACATCAACATCTGAATGACCGGGCTGTCACGAAAAACGAAAGTAATTTCATCGACCTCTGTACTTTTCAGTGTCTGAGTTTTGTTTCCTGATGTTTTGCTGCTCCGTTTTCCTTTTTCGCACAAAGGAAGCTGAGTTTTTTCACATGCAAAACACATTCTAATCATATTTTTCTTCCCTGCTTCTGTCCTCAAAATATGAAACTGCATTTCTCACTCATCCATACCATTATTCAATCGGCATCCAAAAATAATATTTTCTTTTATTTAGATTTACTATGTACGTCTATTTGTCTTACTTTTTATACATCTGTTAAGTTCACTTAACAAGTGTATTCACTATTTTCTTACGGCAAATCTTTATTGAACACTTGATTTTGAAAAATCTACCATAAATTATTCGCACCACTACTACCGACTATATTACATAGCTTTTATGTTTATTTTAAGCAATTAATTGCTTCCATCCTAACTGAAAAAGTCATTTCTTGATTTTAAAAAAATGTAACATTTAATATTTTCCTTCTTATGTCCACTCTAAACAAATGAAAAGCCAAAAATCTGATTGTGTATACAACAAAGTTTGAATGATGTTAATTCAGTCCATGTAAAAATTATTTTTATAAATGTTTATTCTAAATCATGTTAATTGAGTAGCAATTCTACAAAATTAGGAGCTTTCGTTGGTCAAGTCGAACTCTTTTGACCATAGGTTCACATACTTAATCATTTGTATCTCAAAGCTTAGTATATGAACCTATAATTGTCGATTGCATTAACCTTTTTCTTGGAAATTCCTATCTTAGTGTTGAGCGAATGCGTTTCGCTCTTTTTTGAAATGTTACCTTCTAATTTAAAAATTTTTTCGATCTATAGAATTCCGATAACTAATGTGTTCAGATTTTATTTGTAGTAAAACTTCTTCGAGATAATATTTATGCTTCGTTAATCATTCGTTAAGATAACTTTTATGACTTCCAACGGTGCATAACTTTCAGAGGAGATTACTAACCTATGACTACTGTTTATTATTGGGTCGCATAGATCCACCAACACACGGAGCGAATACGAACAAGAATGCGAATGAATGATTAGGATTTAGGAAGTTCATATATATCAGCAACTAAATGATTCATCTAGCGACTTCATTAACCAATATTTAAGCTAGTAGGAGAAATATATATGCGGTAACACGTGGTCAAAGCTTATGTGATCATGTAAGTGTAAGGATAACAGTGTAAAGATATACGCAAATTTTCACCAACAAAAATAATATTACCCGTTGAATAAGTTAATTAAAGGTCTCAATAAATTCAAACGTGTACAAACCTAAGTTGGTGATGATTCTGTAATTTTTATAGAATATTGTTCAAAATGCCACAAATATTCTCTTCTATTACATGTTAAGACTGGATTCGATATCTAATCATCTGATATCCATGTTCATTTTGCTCTGTTGTTTTGATTATCCATAGCCGAGAGTGGGTGGGCCCGCCCTCCCTCTCGAAATGCTCTCACACGGCCGCGCGTATACAGCCTTTGTCAGGGAAGTCCTACTCACTGCCTTCTTGTGGCGGGGTTGTTGTTTACGAAAATGAGTGGACGAAAAGCGAATGTCCGGCGCTTTAACCGGATCCCAAACCAATGGTGCACATGGGCTCCAGTATCCTGAAGGGACAAATGGCGTATGAACCAATTTTTGGTCACCGGCTACCATGGGACTGCATCTCCTTACGATACTCCACAGCCTTGTGGGTTAGACCTTTAGGTCAAAGGCTCGTGGTGTAGCTCCCCAAGAAAACCACCTGCTTCGATTTGGGCACCCGGGCAGTATCACAGCTCACACACAAAGTGTGGCGCATATATATTTGGTGCCCTGTTGTACCAATATTTATGTGTTCAAATAAATAAATAAATAAAATAGTGGATAACAGTAATTTACGATATGGCCAGTTTTTGTAGATACTCTGTGGAATTTCTTAAGTTGACCACATTATTGTATTCACGAAGTACTTTGCTGCTTGCAGTTGATAAAAAGTTGATCATGGGAACATAAAGTTTGCTTATATTATCTTTGCCGTAGGCGAATTAACTGTTGTGCAATGCTGAAAATCAGCTGTCGTAATCGATCGTTCTTCAGACTTTATAAAAATTCATCATTTTATCATTTAAATTGTGATTTGTTGTCTCCTTCATGTCTACCAGTTACCCAGTTAGCATTCAGTAATGTATTTCCCCATGGCTTTGTAGTACGGCATATAAAATACAATGTGTAGGTAGTTTTCAAGTATATAATAATCGATGCCTTCGACGCACTGGTCCATCACATACTCCAACACAGTGTTAGCTAGCATAGGGATAAGTTAGGACGAAAGTAATGTTTGGCAACAGAGTCAAAATACATCGGTGGGTTCACAATCCAAGGTATTGGTCTGTAATAACGTCATCATCTGTGGTTGGAGATGTTAGGCAACATGGGCTAAGGTTTGTCGAAGTTCTACCCTTTCATGCTTGAGTTTTATGTCATCCCATACTTTTCACAGCTTGACTCCACCTTATTGAACCTCATTTTAATGTTTCTTTTTATACTGCATCTAAAGTTGTTTCCCTTCTGCCTCTCGTTTTGTTAAGCTCCTTCCTGCTCGTGGAAATGTCAGGTGTGGTAAATTCGACAGTTTCATTTTCGTGCCAGGTCCTACGTTACTTATGACTTCTTTATTGAGTTCTGCTGGTATCTCATTATTTGTTTCCCTTTTGTGTCAATTCTAAATAGAAGTCTGTTTAGAGATCAATGGTGTACAAATATTTTTATCTTGTTTGTCAATATATCATTTTAACAAAGAACTGAGTCTGAAACGGTCAATTCTAGTGACTAAAATAGCCAGTGTAGCATCACACTAACGATATATCTCTATACCAGTTGATTAATTTTATTGTTATCTAGTTTTCTAGGGTATTCATAACACATTATTTGGATACGTGTCAACTTAAATAACAGCGTTTCTAAATTTCAACTTCTGGTATGATATATATATATATATAAGGTACTTCAGCTCGCTGTTCGTCAAAAAAATATTATTGTTCATTTGGAAGTTGACTAGCCTATTATGAGTTTTGTTAATTATTTCTAAAACTGAAGGCAATTCGAATTTATTACTACATATTTGTCAATGGAGCGGAGGTTCACTATCAATGTAGTATCAATAGCATCAACACTTCTTCAACAGTAACAATTTGTAAACTAGACTCTGTTCAAGGCAAGCTTATTCTTGAATATGTATTTAGTCTACTGCAAAGTAAGATACTTGAATAACTATCCTATATATTTCTATTTCCATCTGGAAAAAATTCGAGTAGTTAAATTAAATTGAATAAGTTGATAAGTCGCATTTACTATGTACGACTACATAATTAATATTATGTTTCAGTAAACGAAATTAGTTTTTTTAATTCCTAAATGTAATGTTCTGGTAGGCTACTGGTACTACTACTATTGGATGTCAATGCTTGTTCTCGCGCACCTCCGAAAAAGCTGTAAAATGACCCAATTACAGTTTACTTGTCAGCACTCTTAAAAATTATCAGAAGTCCATATGCATATGTTGCTTTTTCTTGTGATTGGGTAGAAATAGGCCAACGTTTTTTTTAGAACATCGATATATCTGGTAATCATGCGAATAAACTTAAGTTACTGAGATATTAGAGTTAAATCCTTAATCATACTTCCGTCTTCCATCTTTTTTCACCGCTCAAGGTTTATAGAGCTGTAGAAGTTTAGTAATCAGTTAAGAATTCAATGTTATGAATGCTCAGGAACTAGATAATAACAACAACTGTTGTTTGTCTTCTATTGGGTTTTAATCTCTTTATTGTTATTCAATTAATGACATTAGAACAGTTTTACCTGAATAGTGAAGTTTTGTCACATAATAATTTTCATTTTTTGGTAATTCGTTAAATCTATTTCCCCATTTATCGTATACAGTTCAACAATTTTATATATTTGAAAATATAACTCACACTAAGTTGTGAACAATTACGAAAGTGATGAGTGGTTTCTAATTATATTATTACAAATCCTGAAATTTCTTAAAAGAAACACACAAAGTATATGATTTTAGCATTTATAAATTATCAAGTGGATTTATATGTAAATTCATTATAACGGTTAATCATGATAGTACCGTTCAGTATTTCAGTTAGTGACTAAGAATGAATGAATGAACATTTTAATAAGAATTTAAAAAATATACTTTGTAGATTGGAAAATAATCTTCAATCTGATATTAAGTGGTTATTGGGGATCAGACAGAAGCTCTAAATATACTTATCATGTTAGTCAGGACTCGTTAGCAGTATGTACCTTTATCTTCGTAGAATGTATCATAATAATATCTTGACCTCAGAGTAAAAAACAAAAATGAAATGTAATCCTTTGAAAGTTTGTGTGATAAGTTCTAAGTGTCACTCGTCATATGAAAGTACAAGTGACTACGTAATATTGTTTAAAATGGGTCAAGGTTCGGAATAAAATCTCGTAGTTTACAAATTAACTAGGGATACTACGATTTGTTAGAATAATATTGCTTAAGAAGTAGCTCATTCTGTTTCTAAATATAAGATCTAGAACCTTTATTTCGTTTGTGAACGTAATTAGGCATTCACTTATTGATTCGACACCTTTAACGTACATGTGACAGTGACCGTAATAATATATTACATTACTTCGAAAATTGCGTTCACAGTGGAATCAGAGTTCTATTCGTTACTCTATTTTTTTGTATCAGTAAAACGAAGACGAGATGGTTCTTTGGAACGATCGATATACAGTAAACGGTCAAGATAGGCACTTCCACAGATGGATACAGCCGGTTAAAAAGAAATAATTCTGCCCTCTATCGTCAAGAGTCAGACGAATATGCACTAACGACATCATCAATGATGGATTAGATGACATCCGACGAACA